GCCAGAAAAAGAGGAAGAGCAAGAAATTGAAAACTTATTTGAAAAAATAACGAAAGAAAATGTCCCTAATTTGGTGAAGGAAATACACATACAAATCCAGGAAGCTCAGAGAGTCCCAAAGAAGTTGGACCCAAGGGAGTACACACCAAGGCACATCATAATTAAGTTACCCAACATTAAAGATAAGGAGAGAATCTTAAAAGTAGCAAGAGAAAAGGAGACAGTTACCTACAAAGGAACTCCCATAAGACTAGCAGATGATTTCTCAAAGAAAACCATACAGGCAAGAAGGGGCTGGCAAGAAGTATTCAAAGTCATGAAAGGCAAGGACCTACATCCAAGATTACTCTATCCAGCAAAGCTATCATTTAGCATGGAAAGGCAGATAAAGTGCTTCCCAGATAAGGTCAAGTTAAAGGAGTTCACCATCACCCTTATGAAATGTTAAAGGGACTTACCTAAGAAAAAGATCAAAAACTATGAACGGTAAAACAGAGGGGAGGGTGAGGGGGAAGAATGGGGAAAAAGATACAGGGAATAAGCAGCATAAATAGTAAGTACAAAATATACAGGGGGAGGTTAAGAATAGTATAAGAAATGGAGAAGCCAAAGAACTTATATGTACAATCCATGGACATGAACTAAGGGGCGGGGAAGACTACTGGTGGGTGGGATGGTGCAGGGTGCAAGGGAATAAAGGGGAGAAAAAAAATAAGAAGAATTTGCAATATTGGCTAGATGTAAGATTAAAGTAGAAATTACAATGCATTTTTATATGTCAGCAGTAAAAAAACAGAAAATGTTAAAAAATAAATAATATGTCAACCGTGTTAAGCCACAAAAAAAGGTTTTTAAAAAGAATAAAACGGAACTTTAAAAAAATATATAATAACAGTAACTTTGAGCAGAAAAGTCAGGTAAGTCAAACTAAAATTTATTCAAACCAAAATGTGATAGTGTCCTAATCAGCTAGCATTTTTACACAAATTAACAAGCTGATCTAGAATTCACACAGAGAGGCAAATAATAGCCAAAAAATCTTGAAAAAGAAGAGCAAAATTGGAGATTTCACACTTCCTGATTTCTAAGCTTACTATATACAAAGCCACAGTAATCAAGACAGTGTAGTACAGACAAGGATAGACAGATAAATAAATGGAACATAACTGAGAGTCTAAAAATAAACTTACATTACAGTCAATTGATTTTCAACAAGGGTGCCAAGACAACTCAACAAACGGTGCTAAGACAGCTGGGTATTCACATGCTAAAGAATGAAACTAGAGCTCTTCCTTAAACATTACAAAAAATTAACTCAAAATGGGTTATAGACCTAATTGTAAGAGTTTAAATGATAAAACTTTCAGAAGAAAATATGGGAAGAAATCATTATGATCATATATTAGGCAAAGCCTTCTTAGGTAACACCAAAAATACAAACAACAAAAAGAAAAATAGATATTTTGAACTTCAACAGAATTAAAACCTTTTTGATACAAATTATGTCATTAGAAAGTGAAAATAGGCTTCAGAGGACCTTCGGTCACAAAGGTGGTATAATTAAACACAGCTCACCTCCATCCACAACCACATCAAAATTACAAGTAAACTGTAGAACAACCATCATTCAAAACCATTAGAAATCAAGCTAAATGGAAGTCCTACAACTATGGAATTAAAGAAGAAAGCACATTGAGACTGGAAGGAGGGGCAGAGATGCAGAACAGGCTGGTCACATACCATAATGTATTGGATAAATGTAGAAAGAGATATCTCAGGAGTGAGGGGTCGCAGCCCTACACCAGGCCACACAGCCCAGGGTTCCAGTGACAGGAAGATAAGTCTCCATAATTTCTGGCTGTAAAAACCAGGGGGGATTGAGGCTGTAGAAGACAGAAACTTCTAGAATACTGGCAGTTCCTCATAAAGGGCTTGCACACAGACTTGTTGGGACTCACTCCCTTTGAGCTCCAGTGTTGGGGCAGCAGATTGAAAGGCATGAGAGACACATAGGGAGATACCGAATTGTCCGACATCAGAGTGAGAGCCAGGGGGTAGCGGGGGGAGCTTTTTCTCCCAGATAGAAGTGCTGCTCAAGATCACTGTTCCTCTTCTGAACCCTCCCCGTACAGAGCCAAAAAGCTGGCAGATAGGCTCCATATCTGAGACTCCATCACCCTGGCTCACACTGTCTGCCCCACCCTGGTGATTCCCTGAGGCCCTGTCCCACCCAGTTTTCTGGCCCACCCAAGCTGTTTCCAGTGGCTTTTCCATACAAATGGTTTGTCTTGGCTCATGCTTCAGATTTTCCTAAATTCTCTCAAACAGCATCTGGCTTCAGCAAGCCCCATACCTCTCATTAGGTTGCCCTAGCCCCAGCACTAGCAGCAGCTCACCTTGGTTCACAGGTTAACCTTGCCTGAGCACCTCCAAGCCTAGCACAAGTAGCAGCCATCTGCAGATACTTTGTAGTTTATGCTATGTGACCCCGGAGAGAACACAGGCAGTGGATGACTTTGGACATGCCAACAGCAATTAAGGGTGAAGTTGTATACAGCCCACACAGTGGGCAAACGTTGAGGAGCCAGCTTGGGTAATAAGGGAGGCTGTGTCAGTGGACCCTACTGGACACCTACTACATTAGGCTGCTCTACCAAGCCTGGGAGACATAGCAGCTCTACCTAATACATAGGAAACAAAAACAGGGAGGCTGTCAAAATTAAGAGAAAAAGAAACATGGGCCACATGAAAGAATAGAGCAAAACTCCAGAAAAAGAACTGAACAGAATGGAGACAAGCAATCTAGTAGATGCAGAATTCAAACCACTGCTTATAAGGATGCTCAAGGAACATAGGAAGAACCTCAACAGCATAAAAAAGATCCAGTCAGAAATGAAGAATAAACTAATCCCAATAAAGAACAATTTACAGGGCATACACAATAGAGTGGATGAAGCTGAGAATCAAATCAATGATTTGGAATATAAGGAAGCAAAAAACAATTAATTAAAACAGCAAGAAGAAAAAAGAAACCAAAAAATGACAATAGTGTAAGGAGCCTCTGGGACAACTTCAAGTGTACCAACATTCACATCATGGGGATGCTGGAAGGAAAAGAGAGAGGGCAAGATATTGGAAACCTATTTGAAAAAATAATGGTAGACAACTTCCCTAACTTGGTGAAAGAAATAGACATATAAGTCCAGGAAGTGCAGAGAGTCCCAAACAAGATGAACCCAAAGGGGCCCACACCAAGACCCATAATTAAAATGCCAAAGGTTAAAGGAGAGACTCTTAAAAGCAGCAGGAAAAAAGTACTTAGGTACCTACAGGGAAGCTCCCGTAAGACTGTCAGAAGATTGCTCAAAAGACACTTTTCAGGCCAGAAGGGAGTGGCAAGAAATACTCCAAGTGATGAAAAGGAAGGACTTACAAACAAGATTACTCTACCCAGCTAAGCTATCATTTAGAATTAAAGGACAGATAAAGAGCTTCCCTGACAAGAAAAAGCCAATGGAGTTCACTGCCACCAAACAAGTATTATATGAAATGTTAAAGGGCCTTCTTTAGAAGATCTGAAATATGAACAATAAAATGGTAATAAATACATACCTATCAACAATTGAATCTAAAAGACAAAATAAACCAACAAGCTGAAGAGAAACACAATCATAGATACCGAGAATGTTTTGATGGTTCCCAGACAGGAGGGAGGATGGGGTGATGGGTGTAAATGTGAAGGGATTAAGAAGTACGTATTAGGAGTTATAGAACAGTGATGGGGATGTAAAGTTCAGCATAGGAAATAAAGTAGCCAAAGGATATATATACATGACACATGGGCACAGACAATAGCTTGTGGATTGTGTGAAGGAGTTTGCGGGGCTCGATGGGTCAAAGGAGAAAAAATTGGGACAACTATAGTAGCATGGAAAATAAAATATAATTTTAAAAAAGAGAGTGAAAAATCAACCACAGAATGGTAAAAAAATTCACAAATTGTGTTTCTGCATAAAAAATACTTGTATCCAGAATAGATAAAGAACACTTACAACTCAACAATGAAAATATAAATAACAATTTTAAAACATTTAGAAGATAAAAATAGACAACTCTCCAAAAAAGATATACAATGGCCAATAGACACATAAAAGAGTCTCCATGTTCATTACCCATTAGGGAGAAGCAAATCAAAACCATAATGAGAAACCACTCCTCACCCATTAGGATGGAGATAATCAAAATGATAACAAGTGTTAAGAGGGATTAGAGCCCTCACATATTACTAGTGGGAATGTAAAATGGTAAAGTCACTTTGGAAAACAGCCTGACGCTTCTTCGAAATGTTAAATACAGACTTTCCATATGATTCAGCAATTTCCACTCCCAGGTACACACCCAAGGACAACGAAAATATATGTCCACACAAAAACTTATACATGAATGTTCAAAGCAGCATTATTCATAATAGCCACAAACTAGAAATAATCTAAATATCCATAAGCTTATGAACAGATAAACAAAATATGGTATAGCCATACAATGGACTATTTTTGGCTATATAAAGGAAAGACGTAAGTATGTGATACATGGATTATGTATTATGCCAGAAGCGATTCACAAAAGACCACATATTTTGCATGATTCCATTCAAGTGAAATATCCAGAACAGGCAAATCTACAGAGACAGAAATATTAGTGGTTGCTTAGGGGTGGAGGGCTTTAGGGGTAGAAGGGAGTGACTGCCAATGGGTACAAGGTTTCTTTTGGGAGTAATTAAATGTTCTAACATTGGTTGTAGTGACAGTGGTACAACTTGGAATATACTAAAAACCAATGAATTGTACATTTTATTTTATTTTGCACCATACATCATTTTAAATATTTTTCAAATTGCAAATTTTAAATAGGTAAAATGTTGACTATGTTAATTATATTTCAAAAGGCTGTGAAAAAAATTCTACAGCATAAGCCACTGACAAAGCTAATAGGGCACTCACCTCTCTCTCCAGCTCATCCTCCTCTTCCAAAAGATCATACACCTGTTCTAAAAGCTGAATCCCCAGGCCCTGGACTACATCAGCTCTCAAGACTTCAACTATTCTTCTGATCTTTTCAGAACCTGGCATGATAGCTAAAAAGTAATAACAAAGACAGGAAAACATTAATTCTTTCAGCACTGCAGCAAGAAGAATACAACGTTTTTCTTAAAAAAAATCTTGTCATGTTAAGATCCTTTTAACTTTGACAAGAGTTTAGTTTAATGACTTCACGTAATTTTAATGACTAAAATTCATGCAAGCATACCTCAGAGATATTGCAGATTTGGTTCCAGACCACCACAATAAATGAGTCACATGAATTTTTGGGTTTCCCAGGGCATATAAAAATTACGGTCACACTATACTGTGGTCAATAAAGTATGCAATAGCATTATGTTTTTAAAAACAATGTATATACCTTAATTAAAAATACTTTATTGCTAAAAAATGCTAACCATCATCTGAACCCTTTGAAAAAATGGCACCAATAGACTTGCTCAACACAGGGTTCCCACAAGCCTTCAATTTATAAATAACACAATATCCACAAATTGTAATAAAGTGAAGCACAATAAAACAAGGTATGGCTATATATGAATTTATACTTTATGTCTTATTACCACCTCCTAAACCTAAAAAACACAACTGTCTAATTTAAAGAAAATCCATGTGAAAAATTCCAAACATGTTTACTTTTAAAAATCAATTTTCATTGCAACTTTTCAGGAACACAATTGTTACATAAAATAAGATACACATTTTATGGAAATACCAAAATTTAATAAAAGATAAAAAAATTTGCAAGCATTAGCTGCTCCTTGCTTTGACACATTTCTCCAATAAACCCATGCTCTCCTGTTTGCTATAAAAGAATAAACTGATCACCTAAAGGTAGCTCTTTAAAATGGAGTTCCTCTGCCTGTTCTGCAACTTTCCCATGAAGTATCAGTGTGTCCCGATACTTCCGATGAAGTTTAAATTCTGACACTGGGTCTGGTACTGGGAGATCCTCACAGCTCTCTTTAGAGTCCAGTTTTAGGGTCTGAGTCATCAATTGTACCAAGTCACTCATTTCACTTGAATGGCCTTTCCTGGAATAAAAAAAATTAAAAAAAAAATCCCCTTGTTATTTAATTGGCTTCATGAAAAAATTGGATGCCAAATGACCAAATGACCTCCAAGAAGCTCTGCTTCCAAATGGCCAACTAAACTCCTACAGACAGACCCTTCCACAAGAAACAAAGATAAACACTGAACATAACACAAAAATCAACTATGTGAAGGCACTGGGGAGTGTACAAAATCTGCAAGCAGATTCTGGAGGGAAGTCAACACCTTTTACCCTAAAGGAAGGCCATAAGTACTAAAGCACAACAGAAAACACACAGTCTTTCTGGCCTGAACACCCAAAGGACACAGTTCAAGACAACCACTGCCACTAGAAAATGAGCAAGGAACCTTGGAAAGGGTAGAGCCAGAAAGAGGAAGCCCCAAATTCTGTGCATAAATTCTGCCCAACTATTTCTAAGTAAATTAATTATATTACATTAATTACAAAGCTCAAGAATATTTTTAAAAATATAAAAATACCGCCCTGGCTGATGTGGCTCAGTTGGTTGGAGCATCATCCCATAACCAAAGGGTTGCGAGCTCGATTCCCAGTCAGGGCACATACCTAGGCTGCGGGTCCAATTCCCAGTCTGGGCGCCTACAAACCCCAGTCTGGGCATGTATAGGAGGCAACCAATCGATGTTTTTCTCTCTCACTTTCTCTCTCTCTAAAAGCAATGGGAAAAAAAAATGTCCTCAGATGAGGATAAAAAAACCCAAACCCACCTCCTAATAAGAGAAAACTGACAATATCTGGAACCCAGTAAAAAACACCAAACATGAAAAGAAGTAGGAAAACAGCACACATTCGTGAAGAGAAAAAAAAGTAAATAATAGAAAGAGACCCAGAAGTAACACAATAGAATCAGTAGATGGAGATATTAAAGCTATTATAAATAATTATAAAGTTATTATAAATATATTCCATATGTCCAAAGTAGAAAAAAGCATTAAGTGTTAATGAGAGGCATGGAAGATATAAAAGAGGCCCAAATTGAACTTTTAGAAATGAAAAGTATAATGTGTTAAACACATTGGATGGCATTAACAGGTTAAATACCAGAGAAGAAAAGATCAGTAAACTCAAAGATATAGAAATAGAACCTATGAAAAATCAAAGTCTAAAAAATTAATACCACTGCTGAGCTGTGGTACAACTTTAAATAACTAATATATATGTAATTAGAATCCTCAAGAAGGCAGGGGAGGTCCAAAAAAATATTTGAAGAACTAATGACCAAAAATTCTTCCAATTCTGAGGAAAATTATAATCCCAAAGATGTAAGAAAGACTGTCATAAAAGTTCTAGAATCAGATGTGTTCATTAGAAGAGAAATTTTTAGCACTAGCATATATCAAAGACTATTTATAATGTTACTGATGACATTACTGCAAGTCTGAATACATACATTTAGGAAACATACATTTAGGATTATTTCAAACAGAAACAGTTTATGAAGGGAAACAGAAAAACAGGATTTACCCTTCTCTGGAATCCCCATCTGATTTATCAGTTGAACTTGTAGAAGAACTTAACTCCTCTTCAGAGAAACAATGGGTGAGTTTTCTTCTCTAGTAATATTTGGAAGAACAAAATTCACAATGACAACACAACCAGAATGCAATACATGAAAAAGTCTTAGATACAATGTCTGGCTACAATGTGTACTTAAGTACAGTTTAACAGGAGAAACTAATGGATATAAAAATTGAAGTTACTTTACCCAATGATATCCCAGTTCACCCATGAAGTTCACAAATGAAACCTAAGGAACATCAAGGTGAAGTTTTACAAGGGCCCTGTAAAGTCTCAACTATTAAGAAATTTTCCTTCTGCAGAAAAGTGGACAAACAATTCTGGTGTTCGAACGCCTAAGCAGATGTCTGGTACCATAAGAAATATTGGCATTTTAAACTAGACAGAATGCCACCTAAATATAAGCAACCTCTATTTGTTCATATGTGAGACTCTTTGTTAAAATACTTTACAGGATTACTTGATATAATTATACACAAACCTTACAACTTTGGAAAATGAAGAGGATTGCTTCAATTAGTCCAACAACTACATCATAGAATATTGTTAAAGAAATAAATCTTCATTTCTTTCAAGGACAGGAAGTTTCTATTTTTAAAAAATAACAATATTCTCCTAGAAATGTCAGAAACTACAATCCAGAGAAATCAATAATTATCTCCAGGATATTATTATACAGAAAAGTGAGCATGGTTGGAAACCTTGCAATTAACCCATTTAGCCACCAAATGGTACCCCTACATCAATCCCTGGGTGAGAAGGTAAGGCCTTTGTGACAAACAGAACATAACCAAGTAAGAGTAAAATTTGGCCAGGTAGGTGGGTATATTGGCAACACAGAAGAATAAGCAATGTGTTGCCTAGTGGAAGTCCTTTGGAAGTCTTGTTTTAAAGACTACCTAAGAAAGATATTTAACTACGCTACTAATTGTTTACAAAAGTGCCCCCCAAAGTCATTCTCTTAATGAAGCAAACATAAATAATCCTTTTAATTACTGACCAGTTCTTTCCCTTCTCAAAAGTGAAAAGGTGTAACTTAAGCCAGAACCATCCCAGAAATAAATGGAGCTGGCATTTATAAAGTTTACAGTATTAGACTTGCCAGATGTAGACACGTCCGCCTTTTTCCCTTAGAACTAAGTGATGTACCTGAGCAAAGCTTCGGTCAGGAGAGAGCCATCGAGCAGGGGTGGACTGGCTTTCCTCTTGTGGCTTCCCTGGCCCCGCTGCACTAGGAGAAGCTCTCCTCACTGTAGGGCCTGAAAAAGTGACCACGCCAGCAGTTGTTTGTGGTGGGCTGGACTCAATAGAAGAGAGCTTTGCACTGGGGAGGGAAGTTACAGAAACAAGGGCCAGCCTAGAAGTAACTCAGCATATCATCATTACTCTGGTATCCTGACACTTCAGTGCAAAGCTGGGCTCTAGGTCTACCAGCTCCGTGAGCTTGAGCAAGATACTTAAACACTCGGGGTCTCAGTTCTTCAGCTGCAAAATGGGAATAATGCTGCCTGTCTCTGACAGTTAAACTGTAAATATAACATGAGATAATGTCCTTGAAATGCTTACCATAGTGCATCAGACATAGATAGATTCAATAAATGGAAACTGCTAGTACTGTCTTTAGATAATAGTAATAGGAGCCCTGGCTGTTGTGGCTGAGTGGACTGAGCGCCGGCCTGCGAACCAAAGGGTCGCTAGTTTGATTCTCAGTCAGGGCACATGCTTCGGTTGTGGGCCAGGTCCCCAGTAGGGGTGCACAAAAGGCAACCACACATTGATGCTTCTTTCCTTCTTTTTCTCCCTCCCTTTCCCTTTGTCTAAAAATAAATAAATAAAACCTTTAAAAAAATAGTAATAGTAATGATCACAGCATTGGGCCCTAGACACCACCATTCTCCCAGCTTCCTCTCCCTATTCCTGAGAAGACAGCACTTCTTTTACCAGCGGACTCTGAACACAGAAACAAATTAAACACTCGATTTCCTGTCTGAAATCTCCCAGGAGTTACTGCCACTTAAAGCTCTCTTGCTCACATTTTAAAATCCTCTTCCACTGATAATACAAGTTCCAGATCCAAGAACCTATGCTGATTTGTTTTTAAAGGCTTGACTAAGAAATTTCAAAATTTCTTCCAAATCGGTTTCCTAAATGTATTACTATTGCTTGACAATTCTTAACACCTCACAATCAGAACCAATGCTTATGTCCACAAGTAAAACCTCCAACAGATGAAGAAAAGACAACTTTACCTGAGGGGAACACCACTTCCTGCAACTGCTTTAGTCTCCTCCTTTCTCTTGCTGATAATGGTCGATCCTTTTAAAGAAAGTCAGAGTTATTTCCATTTCTACTCACTATTCTTACAACACCTATGATGCATGACACATCATCCAGCACAATAGGAAAGGCCTTGCACAGGCCTTAAAGGAGTGTCTATTTGAAACCAGTCTCCATCAGGGTTACGGCTTCTAGCTAGGGCCAGTCACGGCAGCCCCATTTCTGGGAAGTACTATATTCATTTTTGGAAGGGCAATTGGGGAATTCCGCATTTCCTCCATTTAGAATCTTTAGTGGTCTCCTTGGTTTACCACTAGTGACCATTTCTCAAACTTTAGAATCTGTTCATTTCAATCCAGCACTTCTGCTAAGACTCACACATCTATCTATCCCTTCCAGTGTTTGCAAAAAGCAGGGCTGAAATGTTTTAATAGAAAATTTCACAATATATGCAGAATTTTATAACTGATACAGCTTTATAAGATTTGTAAAACTCTATAATATACCCCCCACAAACCTTCGATGATGACATCTCACTGTTCCTCGAACTGCTCACAGACTCAGTGACCACTCTGCTTTGGTTTTCAGCCTCCTTTTGGGTTGATGTGACATCCACTTTTCCAACATTGGGAAGAGAGGGCAAAAGTTGAGGTGGAGCCTCCTGGAACTTAAATGATTTTTAAAAAGGGGGAGATTATCAATTTAAAATGATAATGAAAACCCACCTCCAAAGTTGCCATCAACACATTTTCTATGTATTCAATAGAGATTTGCTCTCAGATACTTCAAAACACTGCATTTTTGGGAAAAGAAACTCTGCCAAAAGTGAAGCATATAACAGGGTGCCTATGAAAGTTACTTCAAAAAATGGTGTAATATGTCATTTAAGAAAAGAAAGAAATGAGGCGTTGACATGATTTTATGCAGATAATAAGGGCGAAACTGTTCATCAATACAACAGGGAGGATCAGAGATTTACTCGTTAGCCTGTTCCTTTAACTCTCAAAATGATCCTCACAGGGAAAGACAAAATCCTTACTCTGCTTCCAACTTACTGACATTTGAAAACTACTATCTTGCCATCATCACCCTTCTCTAAATATTCCTCGCATTTCTTGTTTGTCTCTTTGGCAACTGTTAATCATTGTAAGCAGAATTGAGCTCCGTCAAGTATATTTAGGAAGTAAACAGTATATTTCCCAAAGAGGAGCACAATGACTCATTCCAAAGAGATCTCGTCCAACCTGTCTCTTTTCCCCACTGTGCTCAGTCTGTTCTCTTTTTTTCTGCCGTCGCTGCCGAGACAGGGAAGGTTCAGACCCAGAGCTGTGTGGCTGTAAACCTGGGTGGATTTTGTCCTGGTTTTCAGTAACACATTCACCAGCAACTTGATCCTTTAAAAAAAAAATAAAGCAGAATAATAAGTCTTTTGAATTTCCAAATGGCCAAACCCTCCATACCTACTATTAAAATTATAAATGAAAATAAAAGGGAGTTACTGTTCTCAAAATAAATGCCTTTTTGTAGTGTTGACAGGCAAAAACAAAATGTTAACATCAGTTATTCATATTTTCTGGCTTTTTTTCTCTTTTCCCAAATTAAAAATATAAATATTTTAATTAAATTACTCGTTGTTAATCTGAAACTGCTGATGCTCAAATTAATTTTTTTTAATTTTTAAAATTGATTCTAGAGAGAGGGGAACAGAGGGAGAGAGGAAGAGAAACATCGATGTGAGAGAGAAACAGTGATCGCTTGCCTCTTGCACATGCCTTAACCAGGGACCAAACCCTCAACCCAGGCATGTGCCTTGACCAGGAATCAAACTGGTGACCCTTCAGTTTGCAGGACAACACTCAACCAACTGAGCCACACTAGCCAGGGCTCAATTTATCTTTTTAAAATATATTTTCATAACTTTTAACAGGTTTTCTATTCAGAAAACAAAGAAATGTTAGAAATGAAATTCAATTTAATATATACATACTTCACAAGTAAATATCAGTAATTTGGATACACCATGAAGTATGCTTTTTAAAGCACCATGAAAAGAGCACTGAATTTGAAGTTAGATGGGAGTCATATCTGAGAAATATAATCTTCCTGAACCTCAGTTTCTTCATCTATAAATGGGTAAAATGCCTCACACACACATTTGTATGATCACTGGAAGATCAGTAAATATAGTGCATTAAAGTATTTAGGACTATGTCTAGCACATCAAATCCTCAAAAAAATCAGAGCTATTATTAGCAATAATAATGATAAAAATAAATTACTTTTTCCTAGTAATATGAAGTCCTAGTTCACCAAGGACTTAGTATTTTATTGGGTAGCTGGTTTTAGAAACTAATTTATATAAAACATTAAAATAAAATAAATTCTTAAATTTTTAACAAGTTTCAACTACCAAAATATCTAGGTTTTCAAGTAGATGGGCTCCAGTAATTGAATATGGTTCAATCAACAATTGTTATCAACAGCCCACCATGTGGTACATTTTAGAAAGTAAAACAATGTGGTATTAATACAACGTGAAATGGCTTCTAAGAGTTACTGTCATTATCATTAAGACATCATCTATCATTCAGATCCTCTGGCTTCTATAGTTAAAATAATTTGTTAAATTAAGTGTTCCAGGAGTACACCTAACATTACATAGAAAATATAGTAAATGAATAAATTCTACAATATTATTGCATAAGAAATTGAGCTGAACAAGACCAAGATAATAAACAATTATCTTGAAGAGTGAAGTAAATGTTTCTCTGCTGATAGTAAGCATAGACTGTTCAAAATAAAGCTTATACATGTACAACACAAGAGTGACAGAACAAATGATTTAGGGAATTTCTCTATGAAATCCAACTGGTCCTGAAAAAAGTTCCTCTTCTTTTAAAAACAATAACACCAAAAGAGGAAATGCTGGACATAGAATTGTTCAAACAAAAAATCTGCTCTTAAAGCTTAATGTGAGAAATGAATTTGATCAGGAACAAAAGAAGGATGTTCATTCTCACCACCTCTATTCAACAATGTACTAGAGGTGCTAGCCAGAGCAATAAGGCAAGAAAAAATAAATGAAAGCAATCCAGATTGGAATGGAAGAAATAAAACTATCTCTGTTCACAGATGACATGATCTTATATTGAGAAAATCCTAAGGAGATCACTATAAAAAACTGTTAAAACCAATAAATGGGATCAGTAAGGCTGTACAACACAAGGTTAATATACAAAAATTTAGTGTATTTCTATACATAAGAAATGAACACTAGGAAAATGAAATTAAGAAAACAATTCCATTTACAACAGCATCAAATGGAAGAGAATACAGAGAAATAAGTTAATTGAAAGACACCTCATGTCCAATGTGTTCCAAGACATACAGGGTGGGACAAAAGTAGGTTTACAGTTGTGAGTACATGAAACACAGTTTATTTTTATATTAGTATTTATTATTGCATTATTTTTCATATTGTACAAACTGTAAACCTACACCCTGTATATTAAGATAGCAATAGTCTGTCAATGAACTCAGATTCATTCAAATCCCAGCCTTTTTTTCTTAATTGACAAACTGATTTTAAAATTCATATAGAAATGCAAAGGACATTTTGCATTTCTATATGAATGCAAAATGCGCAAAAAAAAAAAAAAGCCAAAACAATATTGAAAAATAAGATAGGAAGACTCAAAATTCCCAATTGCAAAACTACCTACAAAGCTACAATATTTAAGACAGTGTTTTACTGACCTAAGTATAGACATACAAACCAGTCAAAAAGAATTGAGAGTCTAGAAATAAACCATTACATTTATAGTCTACTGATTTTCACCAAGAGTGCCAAGATAATTCAATGGGGGAAAGAATAAACTTTTAACAGATGGTGCTAGGATATCTGGACATTTGCATTCAAAAGAATAAAGATGGATCCCATCTTCACACAATACACAAAAATTAACTCAAAACGAATCACAAACGTAATGTCAGAACTAAAACTATAAACTCTTAGAAGACAATATAGGAGTAAATATTCATGACACCAAAAGCACAAGCAACAACAACAAAATGAACAAAATTGGATTTCATCACAATTAAAAATGTTTTCCTCCTAGCAATCTAATAAAGTATTATTATCCCTATTTTAAGAGAAAAACCCTGAGGCTACGACAAATGATTTGACCAAGTCCCACCACAGCTCTTAATCAAAATCAGAATTTGAACCCATGTCTGCCCAACACTTTTCATCACACCATTAAAGGTAAAACTTTATTCCCACTTGAATTACTATTTCCTCATCAGCTAGCCCAAAACAGTTCAACCAGATTCAAACTCCAGAATTCTCAGCCAGCAGGTCTAGATTTAATTCATTGTTGGAGTGATTAGAGAGCATCAGGCAGTGTTCCATGCACTGTGCAGAGGTGAGGACCGCCACGGCTGTGTAGGCAAGTGGGAGCCCCAGAGCTGTCCTGAGCTTATATGTGCTTTGCTGGCTTTGAGTAGGTAAGGGATGAGAAAGAGTGCCAATGGTGCCTCAAGTTCCCTATCTCCACTTCAACCAGAAATGTTGAGGTCTTTTGATATTTTGGCTGGGAAGGAGACAGGAACAGAGGGATAGAGGGATAGTTGAGAAAGAAGAGAGGGAGGAAGAAAGAAAGATGTGTTACATCTATCTAAGAATTTCTATTCAATTTACAACAAAGCCTTAGGTAGAAAGAATGAAACACACAGTGAAATCTCAGAGAACTGTTAATGAAGGAAGATGGTCTTTAAGGGACCTGAGACACATTTCAGAGTTAACTAAAATTCTGTGGTAAGGACTCTCCCTCTTTTAAGAATTTATTTGCAATTCAAGAACTACAGAGGGAAAAAAGAGTAGTCACATGCATTATGGGAAAAGCATTTTGTGTTAGAAAAGTAATGGTGTTGATATCCTTTCAACAGATCTTTCAATACAATTTGTCCCTTTGCTTAATTAATTGCAGATGCAGAGAACATTCTGTGGCAAGACTTTGTCCTAGTGACACTACCATATAATGAAATATAGATTATTTTAGACTATTTCAGAAAATGTCTTCTGCATATAGATCCTAATTACATGGCTATTAAAACAAGCATGAATTTTCTAGCCAAATTTCTCCTTCCCCCGAATTTCAACCTCATGGATCTTCAATCTGTTGTAAAAAAAATTAAAATAAAAACTTCTGTGCTTCAAAGAATACCACCAAGAAAGTAAAAAGACAACCCACAGACTAGGAGACAGTATTTTTAAATCTTGTATCTTATAAAGGACTGATATCTACAGTAAAGAACTCTTATAACTGAACAATAAAAAGATAAACCAATCCCAACAGGTGTGGCTCAGTTGGCTGGGTGTCATCCCGCAAACCAAAAGGTCTCCAGCTGGATTCCTGGCCAGGGCACATGCCCAGTCAGGGCACATGTGGAAGACAGCCAATAGATGTTTCTCTCCCGTTCTTTCTCCCTCCCTTCCTCTCACTCTAAAAATAAAAAGTAAATAAATAAAAAAGATAAAACAACTAAAAAATGGGCAGAGGATCTGAATAAGATTATTTCTCCAAAGTAGGTGCACTAGAGGCCATAAGCACATGAAATAATGCTCAGCATCATTAGTCATTAGGGACACGCAAATCAAAACCACAATAAGCTACCACTTCATGCCCACTAGGGTAGAATTAAAAAAAAATGCCCTGGCTGGTGTGGCTCAGTAAATTGAGCACCAGTGTGAAATCTAAAAAGTTGCTGGTTCGATTGCCAGTCAGGGCACACGCCTAGCTTGCAGGGCCAGAGCCCCAGTTAGGGGTGTGCAAGAGACAAACAGTTGATATTTCTCTTGCACATCGATGTTTTTCTCCCTCCCTTTCGCTCTCTCTAAAAAATAAATTTTTTTAAAGACTTTATTTATTTTTAGAGAGAAGGGAAGGGAGGGAGAAAGAGAGGGAGAGAAACACCGACGCAAAAAAGAAACAGATCAGCCACCTCTCACAAATGCCACCACCAGGGACTGAACCTGCAACCCAAGCATGTGCCCTGACTGGGAACTGAACTGGCCACATTTCGCTTTGCCCAACCAAGCCACACTTGTCAGGGCAAGTATGGGGGTTTTTTTTGAGGTGATGAAAAAGTTCTGGAATTAGACAGTAGTGATGACTGTAGAACTTTATGAATATACCAAAAACCACTGAACTGATACTGTAATCATTTTAAAAAATGGAAAAAAATAAAAGAACTGAACTTGAAATTAACTTGACAGCCAAGAAAAAGAAGCAGGACACATACAATTTTATCAATAAGGTACTAAGGATTTCAGTGTTCAGAGAAAGCTTAAGAATATATTTTGGTTTCCACCCAATCACTTTACAGGACGAGAGCATTATACTTGCACTTTTCCAGAAAAACAAAACTTAATTATTAAAAAGATTTGATCCCTGGCCACGTGGCTCAGTTGGTGGAGTGTTGTCTGTGCACCAAAAGGTTGTGAGTTCGATCCCCAATCAGAGCACATGCCTAGGTTGTGGGTTTGATCTCTGGTTGGGGCACAGATGGGAGGCAACCAACTGATGTTTCCCTCTCACACTGATGTTTCCTTCTCTCTCTCTCTAAAAAAATATATATATATATCAATAAATATATCCTCAGGTGAGGATTAAAAAAGACATTTGAATATAAATGAATAAAATAGTTTTAATGTTTATATAAATGTTACATAAAAGATATATAATGTATCACTATCAAATTGAAATATATATAGCACAGATTATAAAAATATAGTCAGTATACCTATTAAATCATTATATCTATTTTTTAAATATTTTACACATAAAAGTAAAGTTAATCAAATGTTCTGGTTTTCTTTCTAATCTACAGCTATTACCATGCTTCAGCTAATTTAGGTCTCTTTCCAAATTCAGGTAGAAGATAAGCATTAAATTTACTCAGAATAGTCTCAGTATCAAAATCCTTTTGTTCCTTTTCTTATCTTCTCTTTGTCCTCCCTTTTGGTTTCAACACATAAAATAATTTTTTTAATTTCCTAACAAATTAGATAAATCCCATTTTTCAAAAGCAAGAAGGAATGTTATATTATCTAATTGTTGGAACTACCAGTCCACTAGGAGGACTAAGGAAGAGTGATACTGAAATAAGAAAAATATATATATAAAAATAGCATGCTTCCACCAAGTACCTCAGATCTCATCCTTTGGTTTCCGTTATGTTTAAATTGGTACACTTGCCCTTGCTGGTACGGCTCAGTGAATTGAATGCCAGCCTGTGAACCAACAAGTTGCCAGTTCAATTTGCAGTCAGAGCACATTCCTGGGTTACGGGGCCAGGTGCCCAGTTAGGGGCATGTGAGAGGCAACCACACATTGATGTTTCTCTTCTTCTCTTTCTCCTTCCCTTCCCCTCTCTCTAAAATTAAATAAATAAAATCTTTAAAAAAAAAACAGACTTCCCGCCAGGATAGGGGTAGGTAGATATACTTTGCCTCCTCGCACAACCAAAAGGACAACAATAAATTTAGAAACAAAAAATAACCAGAACTGCCAGAAAATCGAACTGTATGGAAGTCAGACAATCAAGAATCTAAAGAAGAAACATTCATCCAGACCAGTAGGAGGGGAGGAGATGAGCAGCTAGGTGGAGAGGATGTACGGCAAGGTGGCAGCTGGAGGACAGGTGAGGTGGCAGCTGGCAGTCCGGGCAGTCCCACATTTGTGTGCTGATAAACCAGGAGGAAAGCTGGGGAGCAAGACAGACCACGCAACCCAAGGTTCTAGCGCGGGAAAAGAAAGCCTCAAAACCCCTGGCTGTAAAAATCTGTAGGGGTTGTGCTGGTGGGAGACACTCCCAGCCTCACAGGATAGTTTGTTTGAGAGACCCTTAGGGTCCTAGAATGAACATAAACCCACCCACCCGCGAATCAGCACCAGAATGGCCCAATTTGTTTGTGGGTAGAGGGGGAAGTGACTGAAAGCCAGCTGAGAGCAAAGCAAGTGGCATTGTCCCCTCTCGGCCCCTCCCCCACATACAGCATCACAACACAGGGACCTGGGTTGCCCTGCGCTGGCAAATACCTAAGGCTCTGCCCCTTCCAATGTAACAGGCATGCTGAGACAAAGAAATATGGCCCAAATGAAAGAACAGATCAAAGCTCCAAAAATAGAACTAAGTGATGAACAGAGCCAACCTATCAGATGCAGAGTTCAAAACACTGGTAATCAGGATGCTCACTGAATTGGTTGAGTATGGTTGCAAAATGGACAAAAAAGTGAAGGCCATGCAAAGTGAAACAAAGAAAAATTTACAAGGAACGACAGCGAAGGGAGGGAAACTGGGACTCAAATCAGCAATTGGGAGCAGAAGGAAGAGATAAACATTCAACCAGAAGAGAATGAAGAAACAAGAATTCAAAAAAGTGAGGAGAGGCTTATGAACCTCTGGGACAACTTTAAACGATCCAACATCCTCATCATAGGGTGGCCAGAAGGAGAAGGGGATGAGTAAGAAATTGAAAACTTATTTGAAAAAATAATGAAGGAGCTCTGGCCAAGGAAAGAGACTTCCAGGAGATCCAGGAAGCTCAGAGAGTCCCAAAGAAGTTGGACCCAAGGGAGCACACACCAAGGCACACCATAATTACATTACCCAACATTAAAGATAAGGAATCTTCAAAGCAGCAAGAGAAAAGGAAACAGTTACCTACAAAGGAGTTCCCATAAGACTATCAGCTGATTTTTCAAAAGAAACCTTGCAGGCAAGAAGGGAATGGCAAGAAGTATTCAAAGTCATGAAAAAGAAGGACCTACATCCAAGATTACTCTACCCAGCAAAGCTATCATTTAGAATGGAAGGGCAGATAAAGTGCTTCCCAGGCATGGTAAAGTTAAAGGAGTTTATCATCACCAAGTCTTTATTATATGAAATGTTAAAGGGATTTATCTAAGAAAAAGATGATCAGAAACTATAAACAGTAAAATGACAACAAACTCACAACTATCAACAACTGAATTAAAAAGCAAAAACTAAAATAAACTAAGCAAACAACTAGAACAGGAACAGAATCATAGAAATGGAGATTGGAGGGGAGGGGAGGGGTAGTGGAGAGAATGGGGAAAAAGGTATAGGGAATAAGAAGCATAAATAATGGGTAAAAAATAGACGGGGAGGTTATGAATAGCATAGGAAATGGAGAAGCCAAAGAATTTATATGTATGACCCATGGACAGGAACTGAGGGGGGCGGCAAATGCTGGTAAGATGGTGGGTGCAGGGAGGAGGGGAACAAAGGGGAGAAAAAAAATGGGACAACTCTAATAGCATAATCAAGAAAATACATATTAAATAAACAAACAAACAAACAAATTGGTACACTAAATAGCTGGTTTTCCTAAAACAGCAACTAGAACACAACCAAACAACACAAACCAGACCTTTGTACCTGCACTTTCCAATCTTCTCTCTGAAACCAACACCGTGTGCATATTACTCACCTGGTCCTTTGGCTTTTGGCCTTCATTTACGGGCTGCAGAGGCTTTTCTTTTCTTTCCCCAGTGACATCGTCAGAGGACCACGTAGGAATTAGGTTTCCAGGCTGAGTGCTGGACTTAGTGTTATCTTGCAGTCTCTCCTTCACTTGAGAAATATTGCATTTACCTTCCAGTTCACTGGAGGCATATAAGCATCTTGGCTGATTCTCTGGAACTAACCCATGACCCAAGTCCCTCTCTGCTGGTAAGATGTCAATGTTCACTCTACTGATTGTAGCTAGTGATTCTGTGGTATCTTTCATGTCTGGTTTGCAGGTATGGCCTTTCAGATTTGCAGGTGTCTTCAAGGGGCCAACGACTATGTGTTTTTCCTGGGATACGCCTTTGTCTTCACCCTGAGTGAAATGCCTCCAAGTTACTACAGCACTCCTCACACCAGACAAAAGAATTAACTGAAAATGGAACAAAAGGTTCCTCACAAAGTTAAACATAAAATTACCATATGACCCAGCAATCCCAATACTAGGTATATATCCCAAAGAACTGAAAATAGGGACTCAAACATATATTTGTGCACCAATGTTTGGTCATTACTGACAATAACCAAAAGGTAGAAAGGACCCAAATGTCTATTAGCAGATGAATGGATAAACAAAATGTGGTATACATACAGTAGAACATTATAAGGCCATAGAAAGCAATGATTCTAATACATGCTACAACATGAGTAGACCTTGAAAATGCACTAAGTGAAATAAGCCAGGCACAAAAGAATAAACATTGTATGGTTCTACTTATGTAAGGTACCTAGAACACGCAAATTCATAGAGGTTAACAAGGCCTGGGAGAAGGAAAAATGGAAAGTTATTGGTTAATGGGTACAGAGTTTTTGTTTGGAGTGATAAAAGGGTTTTGGAAGGTAGTGATGGGTTGCACAACACTGTGAATATAATTAAGGCTACTAAATTGTACATTTAAAATTATTCAAAATGGCAAATTTTATGTTATTTATATTTTAACACAATAAAAAATTAAAAATAGACCAACAACCTAAATTTAACAGCCAAAATTATAAAACTCCTAGAAAGAAACACAGGCATACATCTTCAGGACTTTGGATTCAGCAATAATTCTTAGATATGACACCAAAAGCACGCTCAACAAAAGAAAAAAAAGAGATAAATTGGCCTTAATAAAAATAAAAAAAATTTGTGCATAAAAGAACATTATCAAGAAAATGAAAAGGTAACTTATGGAATGAGTGTTACTGTTTGTAAATCATAAAGGTCTAAAATGCAGAACAGAGAAAGAACTCTAAGAACCTAATAACAAAAAAACCAAAAAACCCAGTTACAAATGGACAAAGGACTTAGTAGACATTTCTCTAAGGAAGGCATACAAAGGCCAACAAGCTCGTGAAAAGATTCTCTATGGCCTCAGTCATTAGGACACTGCAAATCAAAACTACGATGAGATACCATTTCAAGTCCACTAGGATGGCTAAATCAGAAAAACAGGAGTAACATAAGTTGGCATGGTTGTGGAAAAAATGTAACTCTAGTGGATTTCTAGTAGGAATGTAAAATAAGAAACTGATATGGAAAACAGTGCGGTGGTTTCTTAAAAAGTTAAAGATAAAATTACTATATGACCAGCATTTCCAGTTCTAGGTATATACCCAAAAGAATTAAAAACAGGTACTTAAACAAATTAATTGTACACAAATGGTCATAGCAATAGCAAAAAGATAAAAACCACCAAATATACACCAATGAATGAATGGATAAAAAAACTGTAGTATATACATACGATGATATATTATTCACACATAAAAATAAATGAAGTATTGCTACATGATATATGGATGAATCTCAAAACCATTATGCAAAGTGAAAGAAGCCAAGACACAAAATGTCACACATTGTATGATTCCATTTATATGAAATATATAGAAGAGACCAATCCATAAGAGACAGAAAACACAATGGTGGTGGTTTTCAGGGGCTGGATGGAAATGAGGATGATTCCTTAATGGGTATGGGGTTTCCTTTGGGGTGATATGAAAATGTTTTGGAACTAGATAGAGGTGATGGCTGCACAACACTGTGAATGCACTGAATGCAATTAATTGTTCTTGAAAATGGTTAACTTTGTTATATAAATTTCACCTCAATAAAAAAAGAAATTCTTAGAATAAAGTTATCACAGCATTGACTTCATGAACAATTTGACAGCCCACTTTGGATGAAGTGGGATAAATGAAATTACCTTCACCCACATTCTTTCTCTACATACACAATTAATTACACAACAGAATCTCCAGTAAAGCCTAACCATTTCACATAAAATAACCTGTTTAGATAATCTATCATTTTAATGCAGTTTCTAAAACACATACCCCTTAAAAAGAAACATACCATTGCATATATCTTGGAGCCTTCAGAAGAGTGTGGTTGGTGGGGAACTACTCCATGATTTGATTCAGCCTTTCCAGAAACCACTGAAGAAAAAGGCTTGGATTTAGAGTCACCATTTTTAATATTATTTTTGGAGGTTTTTCTTTATAAGGAAGAAAAGAAAAACATATTATCAACATAATGAAGATGAAAGGTTTTTATATTCATATTACCAATAAATGAAGATGAAAAGTATATGAGGAAATGCGTGCATGTATAACATTCCCTTACAGAACTGCTTCATTTATAGAGAACAGTCTTCTAAAAACCAGGGGGCACTCCACAAAACATTTGACCAGTACTCTTCAAAAACAATCAATGTCAAGAAAAACAAAGAACGTTAAAACTGTCCCAGACCTAACCTGACTAAGAAGACATGCGGACTAAATGTAATATGATATCCTGGATTGAATCCTGGAACAGAAAAAGGTCAGTAGTGGAAAAACTGGGGAAAGCTGAACAAGGCTAGAGCTTAGTCAACAGTAAGGTACAGATGATGTCGGCGGGTTCTTAGTACTAACACATGTACCGTAGTAATGGTAGGAGAAACTGGGTGGTGGGTATGCAGAAAGTCCCTGTACTATCTCGGCAACTTTTCTATAAATACAAAACTATTCCAAAATAAGAATCTCTGAGAAACTGCCTCACATACAGAAGCACCAGCATAATTTTCTTTTTTTATGTTTACTGATTTTAGAGAGAGAAGAAGGGAGAGAGAGACAAACAGAAGCATCGATGTGAGATAGAAATATCAACTGGTTGCCTCCCATATGCACCCCAACCAAGGATTGATCCCACAACCTAGATATGTGCGCTGACTGGGCATTGAACCCCCAACCTTTTGTTGTACAAGACAATGCTCCAACCAAATGAGCCATATCAGCCAGGGCCCAGGATAATTTTCTTCTTCAAGTTTCACATGTGTGGAATACTGCCACAACTGCTTTGCCTAGTCTGAGAGTAAAAATGACTGGCATATTCAGTTTTGACTTGCAGAATAAATGTATATAGAAATAATATTCCCAACTGTTTTGGTGTGATGTCTCCACAGCTGGGCTAAATCTCTGGAAAAGTCAAGGAAAGCATGAAGACCAGCCTAGGGATGGAAGGCCGAAGTTCTGTTTGGTGGAAAATTAGAAACAATTAAACAAAGAGATGGTCCTTTATCCCCTGGGGCCTTGTTAGCATTGCCTCCCAACTTTACCACATCACAAGACAGAGATCACAAATGCCTTGTCTAGCCCTAAGTCTTAGATTCTGGATAGCTGCTTAGTAAAGGTAGCACCTGCCAAGTCAAAGAAAGGAATTCTTTTTCTCTTGAGAAATTAAAATGAAGAGAGAAGCTTATAGGGTCTCAGAAATCTGAGCACTCTATTTTAGATGTGACTATTATCTTACATAGTAAATAATGTAATAGGTTTCTTAGATAATCTCTCATTTTAATATGGTTTCTAAAACACATGTCTTTTGGAATGAATCATACTCAATATGCCATGAAACCCTCTAATTCTCTAAATGGTTTTCTCAATTTCTGATTTTAGCAATTAAGCAAATCTCAATCTATGTTCTAGTCATGCAATTTTACTTTAGGTTTAAAAGAAACTCACCATAAATTTTGCACATTAAAATTACAGAAGCCACCCTCTTTTATTCTATCTATATAGCCCAACTATTTGCAAGGGAAGTATCTTACGCCTTTGTAGCCTCCAAAAATAAGGAGATTTGGCGCTTTATGTAAGGCTGCCTCAGGATGCTCCTCACAGAAGGTCTTTCTTCAGGCCTTTTGCTCAGCATTGTTCTTATCAGTTCTGCCAGCTCTGGGCTATAATCTTTTGGCATTGGTGGCAGCTACAAAGAGAAATAACACTGTAATTATGACGAAAGGTCTTGTGTAGCAAAGTAAATGAAGGTATAGTTTTCCAATTTTTAGTCATTATCCACATGAGCATAAAATAACCAGTATATTAGTCTACAGGAAGCATACTGATGTCCTGGTTAAAAGAGCCAGCTGTAAGATTGTAAAAGTACATCCCTCAAACCAGCAGTCCCCTTTGAGGACTCCCTCCTTCTGAAAAAAGGGCATGAGAGTTCTGGTCAAGACGATAAAGGCAGTACTCATCTCCTCCCTCAACCACATCAGAATTACAACTAAACTGCAGAACAACCATCATTCAGAACCATCTGAAATCTGGCTGAATGGAAATCCTACAACTGGGAAATTAAAGCCGCAGCCACATCAATACTGGTAGGAGGGGCAGAGATGCAGAATGGCCTGGTCCCACATACACGTGTGGCAGTTTAAATTAGGAGGAACGTCTTGGCAGCAGAGGGCCACCGCCCCCCTCGCACGAGGAGCAAGGGGTCCCAGACCCACACCAGGCACCCCAGCCCAGGGTTCCAGTACAAGGAGGAGAAGTCCCCATAACTTCTGGCTATAACAAGAGGGGATTGAGGCTGAGGGAAATGGAGTCCCAGGCAGTTCCCTCTGAGCTCCAGCAATGGGGCAGCAGCTTGAAAGGCACCAGAAACAGACAAGGAGGAATTGACTTGTCTGGCATCAGGGCAAGAACTTCGGGGGCAGCTTCACCCAGACACAAGTGCTGCCCGAGGCCATTGTTCCTTTTCTGAGCCCTCACACCAGAGAGCCACAGAGCCATCAGGCGGGTACTGTATCAGACTCCATCAACCTGGGTCACTTTGTTTTCTCTGCCCTGGGGATTCCCTGGGGCCCCACCCACCCAATATTTGGGCCCACGCAAGTTGTTTCTAGTGACTTGTCCATACCAATTGCTGTCTTGGCTCATGTTTCAGATTTTCCTACAATCTCTCAAACAAGGAGCATCTGGTCTCAGCAAGTCTTGCACCTCTTGCTGAGCGGCCCCAGGCCTGGCATTAGTAACAACCAACCTTGGTTCACAGTTTGACCTCACCTAGGTACCTCCAAGCCCAGAACAAGTCGCAGTCATCTGAACATCATTTTGTAGCTCATGCCACGGAGACCTGGGCAGACCTGAGCTGGCAGCTGACCTTGGCATGAACCTCCCAGGAGGCCCCAGGGCCAGTGCACCAAGTGGACAGCTTTAGATACGTTGAAGCACCTCCACCCAACCACCTCCACAAGGCACACACTCAAGGGTAGACACAGTGGACATCAGAGCCCTACTGAAGTAAGTCCTGCTATGTGGAGTGGGGCCCCGCACAGCTGACTCTCCACTGTGGTTGGAGGTCCTTGGTCACAGCCAGTCTTTGCAGCTGATCATCCTGGAGGTAAATGCCTCCCACTGACATACCAATAGCAATCAACACTCAACTACAATAGGAGGGTGTACACAGCCCACATGGGATTGCACCTCAAGTGCCCATGTTGGGTGGTTCAGGAGGCTAAGCCACAGGACCCCACAGAACACCTCCCATTGGGCTGGCCAAAAAGTTCGTTTGGTTTTTTTCCATAAGATAGCTCTAGTAGCACTTAGTTGTTTTTAACTTCATTTGAAACAATTTTGTTAAGACTGTATTGTGACAGCTGTCATATCAATGTGCATTTTAAAAAAAATTATCAAAATTGATCAATTTTTATGTAGCCACTTTAATATTGAAGATTGATAAATAAGCAAAATTTCAGCATATTATGCTGTATTATTTCAAAAAAGGTAAAAACACAACTAAAACCAAAAAAAGATTTGTAAGGTATATGGAGAAGGTGCTGTGATAGATTGAGCATGTCAAAAGTGCTTTGCAAAGTTTCATGCTGGAGATTTCTCAGTGAAGGATGCTCCAGGGTCAAGCAGACCAGTAGAAGTTGGTAGCGATCAAACTGAGATATTAATTGAGATCAACATTATATCATGGGGGAGATAGCCAACATACTCAAAACATCCAAATCAATAAAGTTATTAGTGAAAATGAAAAATGTGTCTTTTAGGGAAAAAACTAAAAACTAAACAGACCTTTAGGTCAATCCAATACATTAGGCCACTCTACCAAGCCTGGGAGACACAGCAGCTCTGCCTACCTAATACATAGAAAAAAACACAAGGAGCCTGCCAAAATGTGGAGGCAAAGAAACAGGTCCCAAATGAAAGAACAGAACAAATCTTCAGAAAAAGAACTAAACAAAATTGAGACAAGCAATCTGCTAGCTGCAGAATTCAAAACACTGGTTATAAGGATGCTCAATGAACTTAGTGAGAACTTTAACAACATAGAAAAGGACCAGTCAGAAATGAAAGATACACCAACTGAAATGAAGAATAATTTATAGGGAATCAACAGTAGAGCAGATGAAGCTGAGAATCAAATCAGCAATTTGGACTGTAAGGAAACAAAAAGTACCCAATCAGAAAAAAAATAAAAAAATTAAAAATGGGGACAGTATACGGAGGCTCTGTGACAACTTTAGGCACACCAACATTCACATCACGGGGGTGCCAGAAGGAAAAGGGAAAGAGAAAGAAATTGAAAACCTATATGAAAAAATAGAAAACTTCCCTAATCTGGTAAAGGAAATAATCCTACCAGTCCAAGAACCACAGAGAGTCCCAAACAATATGAACTCAAGGAGGCCCATACCAAGAGACATCGTAATTAAAATGACGAAGGGTAAAAGACAAAGAGAGAATCTTAAAAAAGCAGCAAGAGAAAAGCAGTTAGTTATCCACAAGGGGGCTCCCATTAGACTGTCAGTGGATTTCTCAACAGACACTTGCAGGCCAGAAGAGAGTGGCAAGAAATATTCCAAGTGATGAAACGCAAGGACCTACAACCAAGATTACTCTACCCAGAAAAGCTATCATTTAATATAAAAGGACAGCCCTGGCTGGTGTGGCTCAGTGGATTGAGTGCCTGCAAACCAAAGGGTCACCAGTTCAATTCCCAGGCAGGGTACATACCTGGGTTGCGACCCAGGTCCACAGTAGGGGGCATGCTAGAGGCAACAGATTGATATATCTCTTGCACATTAATGTTTGTCTCCCCATTTTTCTGTTTCCCTTCTCCTCTCTAAAAATAAATAAAATCTTTAAAAAATTAAAAATGTAAAAAATAGAATAGAAGGACATATAAAGAACTCCCCAGACAATAAAAGTGATGGTTAGAGCATCTTACCAGAGATGTCAAGACTGAACCATCAAACCAGTATTACATGAAATGTTAAAGGGTCTCTTTAAGAATAAAAAACTAAAAATATGAACAATAAAATGTCAATAAATACATATCTATCAACAATTGAATCTAAAAAACAAAATAAACCAATAAGCAGAACAGAAACAGGTTCATAGATACAGAGAATATTTTGACAGTTGCCAGATGGGAGGAGGATTGGCAGGATGGGTGAAAGAGTGAGGGGATTAAGAAGTACAAATTGGTAGTTACAGAATAGTCATGCGGACGAAAAGTACAGCATAGGGAATATAGTCGATACTATTCTAATAACTATGCATGGTATCAGATGGGTATGAGTTATTGGGATGATTACTTAGTAAGTTATGTAATGTCTAATCACAGGGGTGTACACCTGAAGCTAATATATAATGTATGTCAAATGTAATTGAAAAAATTTTTAATGATTTAAAAAAAAAAAATAAGGGCATGAGTTCCTAAAGATATTCACATGAGTACCAGGATATTCACTGCAGTATCGTTCTTGCAGTAGTGAAAAACTAGAAACAAATGTCCATCCATAGGGGACTTGAAGAATAGACTGTGGTATGGCTTTCTAATAAAATACTAAGCAGCCTCTCAAAAAATAAAAGATGTACCAAGCTGGAACGATGCCCTCATATATCAAGTCAAAAAAGTGAGTTTCCTAACAATGTCTAACAATGCGAACAGTTTGATTCCATTTCAGTTACTTTTTAAAAGTATCTTTGTGTCTATGTGCATATATACATACACCTAGACTTATATCTGTACATGACTGGGAAAAGCCTGGAATGCCATGCCCCGAGTTCTTAGCCCTGGTTATCTATAGGGGATTAAAATGGATAGGAGAGGGGAATTTCACTCCTTTCTTGTTTGATTCTTTAAATAGAATTATGGACAAATCTTACTCTTTGTATTTTTCAATATTTCTCAAACTAAAAAAATTAAATACCTTGTGTAATAATAAAATCTGTAGGTGATTTATAGCCTCAAACTTGGTGTGTGGATGCCTGGCAGGCAGAGGTTCCTCATGGAACTAAGATATAAAATTGGTCACGCTAGCATCAATGTTATACACAATGCTTTTTGCAATTCTTAACTGGTTACTAGTGATTGTGATGTTTATCAAAGAAACAAGTTCAGACAGAGTGAACTCATTTTTTTAAAAAGATTTTTATTTATTTATTTTTAAAGAAAGGGGAAGGGAAGGAGAAAAACATCAATGTGAGAGAGAAACATTGATCGGTTGCCTCTTGCCTTGACTGGGGACCGAACCTGCAACCTAGGCCATGTGACCTGACCAGGAATCAACCCAACAACCTTTCACTTTGCAGAACAACATCTAACCAACTGAGCCACACCATTCAGGTCCAGAGTGAACTCATTTTAAATGGGGCTCATTTAACCATAGCTGCTTAAGAAAAGCTACCAGTAATCTCTCAGGACACCTGCACGTCCTGTGGCTACAGGTAATGGTTTTCAAAAAGCCAATCCCTTGGAGCCATTACACCACTTTTACAAATTAATATTAAGAAATGATTGATTCTTTATCCTCCAGTTCAGCCTTCCCCACAGAAGGGACCCAGCATTTTTAACTGTCCACCCAACATCAATGATTACTCACTTTTTACGAGTAGCTACTTACAAAGCTGCATTGAATTAACCTTGCTCCAAATATTAAAAATAATTAGTTCCAGAATATTTTTTACCTTTCCTTCAATAATCCGATAAACTAACGAATTCATGTCTTTTGCATTGAAAGCATGCTTCAGGGTGGCCATTTCATAAACACAGCATCCTAGAGCCCAAACATCAGACTAGAAAAGAAAAATAGTAAATGGTTATGTATCAGAATGGCTTATTTACATTTTTTCTCTTAAAAAAGAAAAGACATTTTCCTTAAACCAATTCACAAAGAATTCTTTGACTACTCTGATGAGCTTTGAAATTATGAATACTGTTCTAGAGACAAGGTGAGCTGGCATACACAGCCCAATCCTACCTTATAGTTGTAGGGCTTGTTTGAGAACAATTCAGGGCTCATATAGTAGGGTGTGCCAATGAGGGTGCTAGCCATATCGCAATGGTTCTCTAACACTCGGGCAATTCCTAGGTCACCCACTTTGATGATGTTTGTTCTTGTTAGGAAGACATTTTGAGTTTTCAGATCTCGGTGAAGGATGTGTTTTTCATGTAAATACTGAAAAGAGAAATAAAATTTCATTAAATGTAAATATACTTATTTATTCATTTATTCCTGACTTCTTATATACCATCAATAATTGCATGAGTTAGAGAGTCTTAGTTACCTACATATCAAAACACTAGAGTTTTATAGTCTCTAAATAAAAAGTCTAATTTACAACTTTCCAAAGTAAAAAAAATTGCCCTGCCCTGACCAGTGTGGCTCAGTTGGTTGGGCACTGTCCTGCAAGACAAAAGGTTGCCAGTTCGATGTCCCATCAGGGTACATGCCTAAGTTGCATGTTTGGTTCCTCCAGTTGGGGCATACACAAGAAGCAACTGATCAATGTTTCTCTCTCACACTGGTGTTTCTCTCCCTTTCTTTCTCCCTCCCTTCCTCTCTCACAAATAAATAACTTTAAAAAAAAAAATTGCTCTGGCTGTGTAGCTCAGTTGGTTAGAGCATCTTACCAGATACCTCAAGGTTGCAGGTTCAATCCCTGGTCTGGGCAGATACAAGAATCAACCAATGAAGGCATAAATAAATGGAACAATAAATTGATGTTTCTCTCTCTCTCTCCCCCAGCCTTTCTCTCTAAAATCAATCACTAAATTTCAAAAATTTTTTCAAACATTTAAAAAAAAGAAGGGCAAAAAAAGAAGGGCAAATGGCAGCCATGGCAACGGCAAGGGCAGTGACAGCGGTGGAGCAGGCAGTGATGAGCAAAGTGGGCTGGGCAAGTCCACAATGGTGAACACACCGTTCAAGTCCGAGCTGTGGAAGTCCACCCCATTGGGCCTGGGGAAGGGGCCCATTCCCTAGACACTGTAGCTGCACTCAGTGACCCAGGCTCCCACCTCCAAGTCCTGAAGGACATCACCACAATGTCCACTGAGAGAACCACCTTGTCTGAAAACCCAATGAAAGCTGCATGCTGCCCTGTGCCCCGACTGAGTGCACCTGACCCCGACCACCACGAGCTCCCCAGCCACCCCGAGCCCTCTGAAGTTCACCGATGGGCCCATGACAATTCCACAGAGGAATACTAAGCACAAACACACCCCTGGGCACTGGGGTTCCCCAAGTGCTCAGCAGCTCCCCAACGAACACCTGTGTATGAGAGCAGGAATTAAAGGTGGACAGTGCTTTTAAAAAAAGGTTTAAAAAATTAAGTTCCATGCATTAATTTGCCCAGCATCCTTCACAATTGTTCACTGACCATTATACCACTTAGTATTATATGGATCCAGTTGAAAAACATGCTTACAAACTCCCACTGAAGGTGGAAAAAATAACTTATACAAGGTCAGGTGCATATTCCTCTCAGATTCAAAAAGTCTTCAGCTTAGTATTTTCAAATATAACAAGTTCACTTTTATTTAGAGAAAGTATCCTAGAATTTAAACTACAAGGTCAATTAATTTTGGACAAATCTGCCCAGTTTCAGAGTATTTCATAAACAGCCCCACTCTTGAATGTGTATATTACACCACAAACATACTTTGCATTTCTACTCACTATGCCACAGGTTTAAAGCTCAAACCCCTACAGTTTATTGCATACTAATTAGCCCAACCACCTTTCAGTATGACACAGCTGACCAGCTGATAACAAACATGATCCTTCTTTGCTCTCTGTAGACTGAGGGGCCTTAAAATGAACTTTGGTATACATATCAAAAGAATAGAGAACTGGCTTCCCCTCCAATTAGACATGAAATCCATCTCTACATCGTATCACTTATTCAGAAACGTTCCAATGATACAACACGGATGACTGGCTCTACTTCATAAATAAATTTTCAAAAAAATACATTTTCTTCACGTACACATTTGGGGAAGAATTTCCCTAAAATCCACCTGCAATTTCCCTGTCCCCTTGGAACAAGTAGGATGCTGAGTCTGGACGGTACCTGCAGAGCCATGGCAATCTGAACAAACCATTCCACCACCTGACTTTCAGGCAGAAGCTGCCCTTTTTGTTCCTTGAGCTTTCGGTACAGATCACCTCCTTCGCAGAAGCCCATGACAATGTACAGAAGACCATCCCCTCCCTCCCATGACTCCTTATAGGTGACAATGTTCGGGTGTTTCAGCTGAGACAAGAGCTGGGCTTCCTGTTCAGCAGCTCGCCGCTCTCGGCTGGAGGCATTTCGGAGGTTGAGTTTTTTGATGACATACTACAAAGAAAACACACATTTTTACAATGCACAAATAAACCTACAGTTTTATTCGTTCAGAAGTATTTAGAGTTTCCCTGAATGTCTTCAAAACTAATCTTCTGGAACCTGTCCGATAACCTAGTCATTTTGTTATTCATAATGCACAAAACTGGGGGGGAAAAACATTTGCTATCACTAACAGTATTTTTTACAGGTTAGACTTAAGAGCAGGGACAGGGGGAGGGTCCCCCAAAATTTCTGCAGACAGAATGATTTCATGGGTTGCGTTAAGTACTCAAAGGGATCCATATCCCAATAAGGTTAAAACTCACTGATCCTCAACATACAGATTATTCCTACTTTTAAAAAAAAATCAGTATCATCTCACACCCAATACACTGCCCTCAATCAATTAAAAGACCATACAACTCCTTACTTAACAAACATATATATAAATGTGCTTTGTAAAATGTAAACTACTGCTCAAATGTGAGGGGCTATTATTATAGCTAGAACCCCATCCTTGACTCAAAAAAACTAATGACTTCCCCCTCTCACCTGAGTGGCCAACACCTGAGGCAAGGCAGAATAGGTGAGAAAGCCTTATACTTAAGAGAGACATCTCTAAGCTTGTCTGGAGCAGTCCCACTGTGTTGGTGCAATTATTAATGGCACCTCCTTTCAGTTTCAAACTTGTCCCAGTTTGTACAATACATTAGTCACCCTATTTACAAACTACATTAAAGAACTAGCTCGTTATTCTGAGGTTGGGATACAGTGCTCTAGCAAAGGAGTGACATTAGATATTAGATATTTTATATTTATAATATAAAACTTATGTTAGATTTAAGTTTTAGAACAATCACTAAGACTGCAATGAAAGGGATGGATTGGAGAAGAGCAAGTGGACTGGCAGGGAGGACCAGCGGGAAGCCTCGACAATAGCTTATCTAGAGACAATGATGTCCTGGGTTGGGGCAGTAGCAGTGGAGGTGGAGAAGAGCCTGCTGGCTCAGTGGACAGATGAATGGGAGTGGGGGGAAGAGGGGAGTCAAGAATGACTCCCAGGTGTCCAGCATGGGCAACGGACCGGTTGGTGGTGCTACTCGCTGAAATAAGGATCATGAGAGAAGGTTTGGCGGGAAGGTGCGGAGTTGAGTTAAGTCCACAGTCTTGAGGTCGTAAGGACAGGGCCTGTCATTCAAGGAATAATATTTGCCAGGCGCTGTATTAGGTCCTGGGAATGCATGATCGCGTGGGGCTGCTGAGCGTAGGAGAAAGTGTAGATCAAGCACACCAATTAAAACTACAAAGAAAAACTCCTTTGGTTTCGTTCAGGGTGCATATTACAGAAGGCATGGCCTGTCTTAGTGGTCTGGGACATTGGCCCAGGGGAAATGCCAAACGAGGTGAGTCCACTTCAGTCACTACAGGGGCCTAACATTGGGATGACGCCCTCGACAAATCCCTGCGTGCCCCACGCCCCCAGATGGACCCCTAAACTCCGCCGACCTGCCTGCCGTCCCGCCGGTGCCTCACGAGCGTCACCTCCCCGTAGCTGCCCCTGCCCACGACCTGCAGGTAGCAGTAAGCGTCCAGGGGCATGTTCCCGGCGCGGAGTAACAGTCGTGGTGCGGTGGCAACGGCAGCTGAAGGCAGGGTAACGCGCCACAGCGAGAGGCCCGGCTCACGCCCGAGAAGCTGCCTTGCCCGGGGCTGCAAAGATGGCCCGGCCCGGGCGCGAGCGCGAAGACCCGGCCCAAGGCGACGCCGCTGCCATAGCGATCCCAGCCGGCGCGGCTCCGCGCATGCTCTGGCAGTCGGGGACGCTCCGTAGGGTGGTTCCGCAGCCGCCGGAGGACCTACCATAAAGCCGAGGCGCCCGGCGGCCAGAGCGGCTCCTCCGGGCCTTGCGCGCAGTCTCAGCCTCAGCTCCACCACTAAGAACTTTCGCGGTGCTGGCCAAAAAAAAAAAAAAAAAAAGATTAGATTAGATTAGATTGGATTAAATGAGATTGGATTGCATTAGATGAGATTAGATAGATAAATAGATAGGTAGATAGATGATAGGATAGTCACGGAAGCTTTTGCTTATTGAGCACTTGTTCTAAGCGCTTTTCAAGTATTAGCCATTCATTTTACAAATATTGACTACCTACCACGGTGCCAGGTCGACAAACTCCTTGCTCTCCTGGAGCTAACATTCTAAAGGGGTGGGTGGTAGATACAAACTCCAGACTTAGAGGTAACATTTGGTATTTTTTACTCCTTTCTCACGCATTTACCTGTGCATCCATCAATACATCTTTTTTTTTTTAACTCATTGCAAAGTAATTGGACATATCAGTACGCTTCACTCCTAAACACTTCAGGCTATGTATTGCAAAGTGTGAAGAACTCCATAATGACTCCATCCATTCCCCTGCCGTAAGTGACTTGACCAAACTCTGGCAGGGCTTCAAACAGCTTAAGGCAGTGTCCCTAGGAAGACCCTGACCCTCCCTTAAAGGCCTGCCTATGAAAGCTCAAAGCCACCACAAGAACTTATTGTTTGCTCCAGCCAACACTTCCCTCTCCTAAAGTATTTACTAAAAGAAATCTTGCAGTTGTAAAGCCTTCCTGTGTCCTTCTACAATCCAGGAGTGTATTTCTCAAGGACCTGACTTCATCTCTTTGAAATATAAGATTCCTTTTGCCTATACCTGACAACTAATTTTTTCTCAGTTGGAGGCAATATCGCCCTTGTTGAAAATACATAATATAGAGCATGCTATTACCCTGGAAAGTTAATTCATGCTCTGTCCCAGTTAATCCCCAGTCTCCTCCCAGAGTCAAGTACATTAGTTCATTGAATTCTTACATCAATCCTGTGTGGCTGTTGCTATTATCATCCTCACTTTACAGTTAAATAAAACGAGTCCCTGGGACGTTAAGAAGCTCAAAACAACATTTTAGAAGCCTTAGAGTTTACTCTTTCCTAAGCATGCCTGTATGAGTCCACTTGGCCTCATCTCAGTTGGCCTAATCTGCCCCCAAGAGAGTTTCCTAGAAAATGACTCCGGTTCCCTAAATGTTTATTTTAGTCCTTTTCCACCCCTCTTCCCAGCATTCTTTGGCCCTCTGGGGAATCCTCTTGTTTCTTGGTTTCTAGAATTTTCCTGGTGCTCCTGATCCCCTTATACACTTCTATTCTTTCTCTCCCCGCCTCTCAATTTTATTTATTTTTTGGAGAGAAGGGAAGGGAGGGAAAAAGAGGGAGAGAAACATTGATGTGTGAACAAAACACCTATCAGCTGCCTCTTGCATGTCCCCAACTGGGGACCCGGCCTGCAACCTAAGCATGTGCTCTTGACTGAGAATCAAACAGGTGACCCTTCAGTTTGCAGTCCAGCAGTCAATCCAGTGAGCCACACCAGCCAGGGCCACTTCTATTCTCTTTTGACTTCTCACGCTGTCCTCAGGTTTTGAAGTTTCCCAAGGTTCTGTGCTCTGCCCTGTGCCTTTTACTTCCCCCAACTTGCCCTTCATCAAATCTATCAGTCACTCTATATACATTTAGTATGGGCCCACATGGTGCAGGGCTGGCGCCCTGCCCTAGAAGCACAAAATGAACAAGACAAAGTCCTGCCCCTGTGGGGCTTAAAGTCAAAAAGGAAGATAGCCATTAATCAACCAAGCATCCTAACAAGTTATTCTTGCTAACTGAGATCAATGCTGTGCAGAAAGGTCACTGGATTCAGCCTAGGCATCCAGAGGAGGTTGCCCCAATCAAGCATTGCTTCCGCATATGTTTGAAGGAAAACTTTTCCAGTCAGAGGGAGCACCATGTGCTAAGGCCCAAGGGACTTCTTTTGTGTTTCCACCTCCACACCTCAGTATGTACTCCCTGAACACTGAGTTGTGCCTGTCTGCTTCAACACCCCAAATCCAGTATTTGACATGAGGCTGGCACCCAACAGATGTGAACAGATAAATTGGGGGTTGATAAATGAATGAGTGGACAAGCACCCGCCTATGTGGACCAGGAAAATGTTCCTATGGTTGAAACTGAGAGACCTAGAGGGGCCGTGGCTGGGTTGACATGGAGGAGTCAGCAAGGGCCAGACTACTCAGGACCTGGAAGTGTGTTAGATAGGGAAAGGCCTAGAGCAGGTTGGCTTTTTAAATGATGACTCTGATCGCTGCAAGAGAAGAGCCTGTGGGAGCAGAGTGGAAATAGATGAAACAGGTCTCTAGGTGAGAGACGAGGGTGGCTTAGACTCAGTGGTAACTGGGGATTTGGAGAGAAGTAAGTGGACTAGAAAGATATTTTGAGGGTTGGGGTAGGGTGTCTAGGGGACACCAGCATCAGGATTACACCAAGCTTTGTGACTTAGATGCCTAGAAGGATGGTGGTGGCCTTCATTGGCGTGGACAACAAGAGGGGAAGACCAGGCTTGGTGGTGGGGGTGCAGGAAGGGGAGAGAAAGGTCATGACTTCAGTTTGGACATATCAGATTGAGGGACTCTCTGACAATAAAGCAGGCAATTGGCTGTGTGGGTAGAACTCAGAGCAAGTCTGGCCCTGTGTGCTGTCCTGTCGCACCAGCAGCACAGCTACCCTCTCAGGCCCCCGGGGTCAATCCACCTCAGCTGCTTTCTGTCCACCCGTCTCCTCACCAACCACATCCACAGCATGAGTCAACCTTTCCTCTAACAGGAGAACAATAACAGTGTCTATCTCTTGGGCAGTAGTTGTGAGCAGTAAATGAATTAGGACATAAAAGGTGTCCTGAGAAGTAGGCCAGACACCAGTCACTGTTAGCTCTCCCCATATCTTGTATCCTCCCCAGGCCACATAAGTGTGTTTTCAGCACCTTCGATGGACCAGGCTCAGTGCTAGCCATCTCCCAACAGTCCAGTCTTGATCTTGCCATACCCCTGTTTAAAATACTTCAGTGTTTTCCACCCAAAAGACTGGCCACTTTCAGACCCCTGGACCAGCAGGTCTCAAACCCACCTCCCATGCCTCTTCCCCACTCCTCTGCATCAGGTTCTGCTCCCATCACACAGACAGCTGCACCTTCCCCAAGCATGATTCACACGCACCCACCTGCTTTTTCTCTCCCTCCCCTTCCCATCTCCTTCTTCCTAAGTGCTGCTCTATTTCTTGGCCACCTCCTCCAGGAGGCTTCTCCTAAGCCCTGTGGAAGATGAGCTCTACCCTTTCGATTTCTATTGCTCCCACATGTTCCTCTTCAGCTTCTGAGCACTCCTTGGATTCACTGAGCTTCCTCTGACTTGTCTCCTTTTCTGAAGCCTCAGCTCGCTGAACATAGTGAGGCACTCAAGTTTCACCGCTGTGAGGCCCCACTGCTTGGCACTGGGCCCAAGATACCTACTTGGGCTCAGTCCCTACTGGGTGCAGGAAAACAGAGCCTCGAATGTATAGTTTAGTGTTGATCCAGCTCAACTTTTACAAAGGCCAGAAAAGAAGCCAGAAGGTCATTCTGGCCTGGGTACAACAAACACTTTCCCAGAAGCTGTTCTGTGAGACAAAGTCCAGGACAAGCAAACAGAGATCAAAGAGTCCCCTGAGTCCACTCACCACATCAGGGTAACAGCAGCCAGTACATTCCACCCAGGGCCCTGGAGTAGATTGACCAGGGGCCATGTCTGTGCAGTGTGTTGTGGCTTGTAAGAGGCAGGAAGGGTTTGGGCATGAAAATTAAGAAATTGTAGGTAAAAGAAGGGTCTTTGGGGTTTTTGACTCTGCTTCTCCCTTCTTTCTAATAATGCAGAGGGCATTTCTGTCATCACATGATAGGCTTGGGTCTTGGAGTCTGACAGACCTGGGTTTAAATACCTGCTCTGTCACTTGCTAGTCTCTTGCATCAGAGCTCTGTGCTGAACCCCAGTGCAACACGGAAGTCTCTCACAGGCTCAGAGGCCCCCGTCCCAGGAACATTCAGGGACACTATGAGGATAAAATTAGACAGTAAAGGGATTAGAGCAATGCTTGGCACATAACCAGCCCTCCATTATGAAAAGGTGGCATTCTCCTGTCATCTCCTTCCCAGAAGACGTAACAATAGGGCTACTTCTGTTCTTCTTTCCAAATCTGGGCAAGAAGGAGCAGAGAGATGGAGCAACTGTCCTAAAGCATGGGTCCCCCATTACGCATCCCGAGGACTGCCCAGACTGCCTCTGGCAGAACTGCTAGGCTTGGTGCCTTCAGAAACGCGGCATGGGCAGACACTTTCTAAGCCACAGGGCTCCCTGGCCAAAGTGTGACTGTCTGAAATGTTTCTTGATACTTAAAGAATTTCTAACGTAACATTTAACAAAGTTTAGAAATCCATTTTAACTGTGGTTTCTTGACACATGTCACTGTGTCACTGGTGTTGCCCTCTGCCAGATCCAGGATTAGACGAGCAGCCAGGGGCTTCACAATGCACATTGTCTGAGAGCAGTTCTAGATAGAAGGGCACAGTCTGAGTCTGGTCAGGAGCTTACACAGCTGGGAATCCCCCCACTGTCAATTTTAGATCCCCCGAATTGTAATATTTGCTTTCATCTTGTCTAATGTTTAATCCATGTTTATCTAGCACTTTATTGATTGATGGTTTGAGTGAAGTGACAGGGCAACAGGAGCCTTGAGACCATGGATGGCGCCATGGGGATGCGGACGCTGCTGTGTTTGTCCCTGGTGTCCCTCCTCACCCTGAAGGCCATGCCCACTCAGGGTGCACCCAAAAGGCCCAAAAGTAGCGAGGTATGTAGATCAACCCTCGGGGCAGAA